ACTTATGGCCGAGGAAAAACCGTGTTCGGAATAATTTTTCTATGCGGCGACAGAGGCCTTTCCATACCTTTAGTAGGACTATCGATTGCATATAGTCAAACCTTCCCGGCTTTTAGCTCATGTAATACTGGGCGGACTTGTGCGGAAGTACCTAGTTGTCAATGTGAGAAATGTCGCAGTTTTCAAAAGTAGATAGAAATTTTAAAATGCTCGTTTCTTTGCAACCAAGCAATATTTTTTCAAACGGAAAACGCCATTTTACTCAGAAATGTCTATATATTTTTTTATGACTCGTTTGAACGAATTCTGTGATATACATTTGAGCAGTGTCTGTCGTCGGTTATACGAGATGGCTCCTAAACAGAAAAAGCCGTGGAGCAAAGTAACCAAACAACAACGTGCGAATGCAAACAGTATTTGCAGAAGAAAAAATTGACTATCGTTTGCACTAATAAAAAATCCTTGAGACTTTAATGTATACAGTAACTAATACGATATAAAACTCATCCATCATTTTTGCGATGCCGATCATTAACAAAAAAACTAGATGCCAGTTGCGTACTGCGAAGATTGAAAACCGACTAAGTGAAACATTTTTGGAACCGGTTAGCTTCTAGCTATGATATAAGCCACGTTGATAATTAATTTAAACTGGACTTATCTCAGTGGAAGCACCTAGTGTTTTCTCCTTAAGCAACAAAATATGTTTCGAATTTTATTCATCTGCAGCATATTATTCATATTATCATATCAGCTGATTCATTATCCTATCATACATTCAGCTAAAGCTTTCATCATATCAAGCACTATAGTATATAGTCACTACGAAGGATATCATGTGACTGTTAATTATCTGATAGGAGAGACGATAGAGTTTTCTGAAAAATATACTCATTTTGTGGCGCTAATTATAGGATGACTAAAGCAAATATTCGAAAACTAACTTCAGTTGTGTTATGTATAACTTTTCTACTTTTTTTTTCTTACTAGAAAAGTTGTTCAGAATCGAATGCCTGAGTTCCTCACGAGACCTTTTTCAATTTTTCAAATAAATTTTACGTTTAAAATTTTAAAATTTCGCATTTTTCAATCTTGTACCCTAGAAAAAAAATTTTCGCAAAAAGCCCTCGTGAGAGACGCAGGAATTCGATTCTGAGAAACTGTTGTACTCAGAGGTTTGGTCTAAAATTCTTGGTTCGAGCGAAACTAGCCGTAAGATGTGGGGAAAAAAATCTTCGCTGTGTCAAAAACCGGTGATATGTTCAAGTTGTGGATTTTCTCTCAAACGCTCCCAGTTTGTAGAGGACACTTCAAAGTATATGGTTTGAAGCTTTTTCTGCCTACTGACCATATTTGACTGAGAAAAAAATTAATTACTGAAAAAAACATTGTTAAATTTTTTGTGTGTGGGGCTATTATTAAAAAATTTTCTGTCCCTTCTCTGTTCATCATAAAAACTTGGTTCTTGCGTAGATCGATAGAAAAATGTGTGAAGAACACTTACTAAGAGAAAATATCTGAAGAGTTTGTTTTTTCCTTCCTGTTATTGACTAATTAGTGTTAATTAACGCGAATTTAGCCTACTTCACTAGCATAAAGTCATCATTTTTTTCAGTAATTAATTTTTTTATAATAAGGTCGGTAAGCTGAAAAAACTTCAGACCATATACTTCAAAGTGAAGTGTCCTCTCTACAAACTAGGAAATCTTACAGAAAATCTAAATGGGGGATCACCTCCTTAAGTAATGAGAAAGGTCAAATACAAGAAAACTTAAAGTCTGTTCTTGTTTGTCATCTTTTAGATAACGAAATGCTATGTAAATACCAAAGTTATTGTGTATTGTATAGCAGGAAATTCTCTATCTCTGGATTTCAAAAAATTCAAAACAAAAGTGGCCCATTTTATCTGGTATACCTGTTGGAAACATAGAAAGGCTAAAGCAACTAAGAAGTGACAGCATGCTAAAGGCTATAGACAATAACAATACAAGTGAACAGCTGTATCGCTGTTGTTAGCAGAAAACAAGATGAATGCTGTCAAACAAAGTCTGAACAGGTTTCGTACATATCTTAATAAATTTTGTGTGTATCTACAAAACTTTTCCTAGTTTCGTATATTAAGCACAAAACCTTTTGATCTACGAAACTCCTAGAAATTCAGTAAATAAATTCGGAATCATTAGAAGTTCAGAAATGATCCACGAAACCTTTAAGGTATTGTAGGAAATCATTCTTTTTTAGGGGGTAGTGAAATCTTTCCAAACAGAATACAGGCAAAGACTAAAGGTTTGTTTTAATTTCATTTTATACAGAATTCAAGTCTCTATTGGGTTATTGATTGGTATGAAAGTAATTTTTGAAAAAATTGAGGGTTATAACTCGTGTTATAACCGTTTTTCACGTGGTAATTTTGACCCGGAAAAATGGGAGTTATAATCCAAAAAGTTTCAAACCAATCAGTGCTGTTCGATGCATTATGAATAATCTTTAGATACTGTCTTTATGGACCCGTTATAAGCCATAAACTGATCATCATTCGTAATTAACGCGCAGACAGAACTATCTCGTATAATATTTAATTCAGCTGTTTGTAATAAAAAACATTCTTAGTACTTTTTTTGTCTCTTGCTACAGTGTGTATCCATTAGATTATCCTTTTAATTAGACGAAAGGAAGAGTAATTGAATGATTAAAGGATTACAGTTTCGTAGAGCATTATTCAGACTTCAAGGATTGTCTTTGTCTGGACAAGAAATATGTTTTAGCTCTGTTTTGATAAAAAAAAATCTATTTTATTTTGATAATAACGTTTTTATTATTTATACTGATTTTTTTATCTGGATTCTTTGTATTGTTAGTGAGCGTAACTGTCTAGATGAGTTTATTCCAGTACTCATTGAAAAACTGTAAAATATTATCGTCGCCTTTTTTTTATTCTGGTAGAGATTTTGTTGGTTGTAGTACCAGTATTTCACAATTTCATGTTCATCTATACCTTGAAAACATCATCAACGACATGTAGAAAAAAAACAACAACAGACAGCAAAAACTTTTTGTATTAATGTACACAGTTATATAATAAATTCATCTCTTTTAAATAAAAATCTAAACCATTGAACAGAAAATCAGTTAGACATAAAGAATAATGTTAAAGAAAAGAAGTGAGAAAGACAAACCAAAAATAATATACTATGAAATTCAAATAAAAGATATGATATCGCGTTATAGTTGAACGAACGTCTGTATTATCTTATATATCAGTTATAACAGATTTATCTGACATACAAAATAATTTTGTAATAACTCACGTCTATATTATTATTCTTATCTCAATGCAAGTTCGAAGAATATTCTCTGAAATTCAGATAGCTATGACGAAGATAATTAAGGTTATGTGTTGCTTGTAAAAGAAGGAAAAGCATTTGATGGTGTTGCTTCTAAACTATTCATAAATCGAAAGGATATGTCTATCTATCTGGATCGCTGGTATCGGCTGTCAACATTTGATAAAGAACGCGATCAGCCATACATCCACGAATAAATTCTTCTTCCGTAATCACACCATTTTTATCCTCGTCCTAGAAAAAAATGAGAGAAAAACATGATGTTTTTAGCTATGTCCAGTGAACCTTAGGGCAAAAAAAGAGCAGAAACGAGGCAGAAAAAGTTTTCCGCCAAAATTAGAAGATTCCTGGCTGTGTCCTATAAATATTCGGTTTGTTTGCTGACGGTATAATCTATGGGTTGAGACTTTCAACTAAACATTATTTTAAAAAAAACTTTAATTTGACAAAAAAAAAAACATTTCCTTCCTTTACTAACACACTTTTGTTCTGCCATCATGCACATGATTGCAAAAATAGAATGTCTCTATGCGAGATAACTATTGTGGATATCCGTTTCTTTCTTAATTCATTTCCATCGAAATTATATCTCTAAGCATCCAACTTTTATGAATATTTCAGTTGGATTCTTGATTACAATTAGCAATACAAACCCATTTCCTCGAGAGATCAGAAATTGAAAAGAAAATTACTTTTAATCTACCTACCATTACATCGAATATTTGAGCTGTACGCGATTCTGGAGTATCGGTTTGATTGACTTTTTCGCCTTGAGGAACACCAGCACCCAACAAATCATAAATAGACTAAAAAGAATAATCATACAAAGTTTTGAGCATTTATCCATCCCTAAAGAACGTATGTATGATAAGCAAACTTGTACTAGTTTCGAATAAGATCACGGTTTTGGATACAAAAGTAAAAACAAAAAAGATAAAACTTCTAAATACTTACTTCAATTATTTTTAACATTTCTTGTCTATCGATACTTCCATTCGAATCAATATCGTACATTTTAAATGCCCATTTTAATTTTTTCTCAGGATTTCCTTTAGCTGTAATATTGATGGCCATTAAAAACTCTCTAAACAAGATAAGAGAGATTTTTGCAACCGTAAGCATTTCTAATCAAACAGTAAACCTGTTAAACTTTTACTACATGATACTGAGGTTATTTTTACTTTACATATTTTGCCTGTCATGTCAAAATCGTTTAAAAATTGTTAAAGCTTTAACAAATTTATTTTGATATCTTCAAACGGCCATAAACAGAGAAAACTTGCAAAAAGAAGGCGAAAAAAAGCGTCAATCTATCAGAGAAGTTTTGATTTTATTCTTTTTTTTTTCTCTTTGCTATTCAAACCGGCAATATTTATAATCAAATGAGATTATATGATCCCACCCTTCGTTTTTGACATTTTTTTGTAGGGATATATGCTAATGAATAATAACAGCGTGTATATTAATAGTTGAAAAACGGTTTTTCCATAAAGAATTGAAGAAAATTATATTCAGTGGAACGACGATGAGGACATATGCATAAATCAATAATCCAAAATGTCATTTTTCTTTTGTGTAGGAGAACGAGAGAATAAATGAATATGGACAATCAAATCCAGAAAAAATTCTTCTTATGTAGTTTGTTGTTAGTTTTATAAGGAAAAGAAAAACTACACTTATCTTCAATATTCAGTTCAGTGTAAAGACATGCACCAATCTTTAGTTACAACTGAATAATAGGACGTGTTTACTAATACCGAGAAGCGAATTTTTTGGAGTTAAGAATCGTTATTGGTAAGAACCACTATGGGTCGTATGTTGACGTGTTAGTATACAATAGAATCTTCAGTATACCATTCAATCTGTTGAAAACAAGATATGCTACTATAAAGTTTCCAACTTTTATAGTTACTGAACAATAAGGATGACATTACGTACGACTACATCGACAGGTACTAAAAAAGTATTTTAAATAAATCTATCATGTCTGATTATATATCACAACATAATATAACATATCTGTTTTTAATATTGTTCATGCTAAATTGAGAAAAACTTATTACATTATTTGTAACCAATTATATATCATCATCAATAACTGTAAAATTTTATAAACAACTTTCTCAGATTTAGAATTAATTATAGAAAATGATTCGTTTATCTTTATCCATTAATAACTTTTAGCCCTATCAAATAGATGATTACAGAGAAAAGTTAATCTAAAGTAGTATGATTTATTTTTTTTTGTTCTCTGTAGGTTTTGAACTATATTTCTAGTAGAATCAAAGAAGTTGATTACTAGCTGAAGATATAGAAAATCGCTCAAATGAAAAAACCTCTAATATTTGTTTCTCTATTAATCTAATTTGTATTACTGAATAGCACTCGATGACAGAATCATAAAAGTTTTTCTCATATACTTCAGTAGATTACACTAAGATACAACAACTGATCGTGCAATTTAGATTATGAACAATTTTGAATGTTCAAGTCAAATAGAGAAAGTGTAATTATTTATATGTTAAAAGTTTGAATATGAACTGTTAAGTTTTGAAAGAGTTATACTGTAATGACCCTGAACAGGTTTATTAGATAGTTTTTAATAGTTAGTTAGAATAAAAGATACTTTTTAACATTAGTTTAAACTATTTTATTTAAAATAAGAAGTAATAACTAGTATTTATCACAAGCGAGTGGGGGGGGGGGGGGGGGGGGGGGGGGGGGGGGGGTGGGGTGTTGTGGGGTGAGGCGTGTTTTTTTGGGGGGGGAGTTTTTTTTTTGTGTGTGGTTTTGTGGGGGGGGGGGGGGGGGG